CTCACTCTGTTTCAAACAACTGACTTATACGCTCATAGTGTAGTTAAGATTAAACTGGAAAAGCTTATAGGTCGCAACTTGAAAATTAAAAATTAAATTCAAATTTTAAAAATAAGACAAATAATTATATCGGCTTGGGCTTAAGTCATATAAACGTTTTAAGAGTATACAAATCTACAAACCCAAATGCGTGTATTTTATGTCTTAAAGTGTATACTATGTGTGTTAATTAGACGGTATTATTTGGTGAACATCTTGACTGCAGGAAATCATACTTTAATATATACTACATTTTTGTTATTCCAGATTACGCGATTTAGCAATTGTAGTTTTAAGACGTGACGCGTCATGTCTTTGTGAAGCGAAGGAACAGCTCTAAAACGTCGTCAATAATTATTTTCATTTGTATGATGTTTGAACATCAATCTACAATTTTAAATGTTGATAAAGATATTTAAATAATAAACATGGTCTTAAACGCCACAAAAGTTCTGCCCTTTACGGTATACAGTATATTTATTTAAATATTTAAATTTGCTGCTTTTCCTTGTAAAAGTTAATTTTACTGTTTGTGGTTTTTTTATTGCCTGATATAGGTGTCAACGTCTCTAGAATAGCCCAATGTCTTACAATTGGCTTTCTAGCGCCAGGTAGACAACCGGTTGGCTGACTGTTTCCAGACTATTCTTAGGAAACATTTAGTTGTCAGGGACTATACAACCAAAGATAAAATATCTATGAAAAAACCCAACGATAAAAGATAAGTGTTTTTGTTATAGATGATGTAGTGTTTAGTGACATATTGACGAGCGATTTCGGCTCAAATCTTTCTTATGTCTGTTGGCGAGTAATGTTGATATTTATTTGCTGATACCCATAACTTTTGCTCGTAATACTGTATGTGTATTTTCTTAGGTTAATTTGTGCTCAGAGACATAACACCAGTATTTATTCGGCACACTATTAGTATTTATTCGGCACTTTGGTACATTCGTAAAATACAAAGATCGATAAACAGTGCTTTTTTACGTTGTTACCTAAAAAAGAAGACAGGATATCGCGGTACCAATGAAGACATTTTATCTGTAAGATTAAGGTTTATGTATAGTAGATATTGGATGGCCATTGCATTGGTGATGTGTTATGTGGAAGTCTCCCTTTTACAAAAAGCAATAATTTAAACGCAGAGAATATCGAAATGATCAATTGAAGTTTACGTAAAGCATTGGTGTCCTATAGTGAACTTCCTAAATATAAATAAAGTGAAAATATCAGACAGCTTTGGAGTAGGTTAAAGGTAAAAATAACATTTATACATCAAACAAAATAATTGTTTAATCTGTTCTCTTCGCCAGTATATTGCATTAAGAACTTAAAATCTGGGGACGGGGTCATAATGTATGTAAATGGTATATCAGTATGATGACGTCTTCTTTATACCTTCCGTCCATCGGGGGGAAAGCACAGTAGCATGTAATTAAACGTATGTCGCATAACATTTGCATTCTATGTGAATTATTTACATATATGCGCAATAATGAGAATGGGGAATTCGACATGATTTTTAGAGCACAGCATGTCTCGATTACCCCATCGTTTACTAATTAAATTCAGACAAACATACCGACAAATAAAATCATCATCATTGACTCTGTTAGACATGCATGACGATCTTATGACCTTGGCTGACACTGACCGGGTGGCTAAATAGAAGATAATGGCGACACGGAGAATCCTTCCCGTTACGAGAACAGCACGCAGCGCAGTCACTTATGTTTTCCAACAACCGCTACCCTGTGGTGCGGTTAAGTGTCTTGCGATATAATCTCCTACGCACTTGCTTCAATCTGACAAATTATTTTAGACGTTTTCTGAACTATCATGGAATTTAAACAGCGGCGTTTGGACTAATGATTGTCCGTGATTATTTGATAATTCGAACAACAGAATCTGATGGGAGGAGAATGCTAAATATGAGTGTCGGTATTGTTGTTTGACATGTTCAATATGCGTCCACTGCGCGTGAGAATTTTTGTTCTTAACATCAGAATTGAAATAGAAATACGCCAACACCATACCTAGACTTTTCTATTCCAAAATCAAAGAAATAATAGGCGAGTAGCTTTATTGTGATAGTAATCAGCTTTTCATCCCATCACACTGTAACATTTCTAAGCTTATTTTACTAAAGAGAAATATTTCCAAAATATAAGTGCGCGGTTATTTCTCTTTAATAAGTAGGCCTATAGACCATAAAGAAATTACTAATAGTTACTTAGCTTCCGAAAGGTCCACTGATTAATCTCAGATAAGAAAGTATAATACATACTCCAAGTATTGAAATACACGCCATCGTGTTGGGATTCAATATTTCGACATTAATTATGTCATCATCAGGAATGATGACATAGCTTCCTTGTGTGATTTGAACGTAGGCCTACTGCAGTAGTTCCTTGTGTGCCATTGTAAAGCTGGGTTCACATTAGAGTAATTTAGACGCGTTTTGACGCAATCGCAAGAAATACCCAACGCCTTCTTTAGTGTGAACCACTTTGAATTAAAACTTGCCTGTGCACGACCCGGCGAACTCAACCTCGACAGTTCTCAATCTTCGCAAGGGAGAAATGAGATAATATAAGGTTGCAGAACAGCCGCGCATTATATATGCGTCTGAATCGTGTGTGAAAGTGTGAATTAATCTAAGCAAAGAGCGACGTTCTCTTGGATAAATGACGTAATGCATGTATAAATTTATTGTCTATTGAGGGAAGTACCGATCACTATGGATGTGAGAGGCGTTGGAACATAGACACATTTGGCGCTTCATATTAGAAAATCATTTATACACACAAGAGGGTCATAATAATGTTATTTGTATTAATCATACGTTATAATATTATTCGCGGTAACATCTATTTATTCAAATACCGTACAAAAAAATTATTCGATAAAACGGCGTCTGCACAATTTAGTTGATAAGGCAGAGTGTAAACACTGTTAAATCCCAGACCCTATGAGTGTCTGTGGTTATGCATATGCACTTGTTCCCCCATGTCTTTATATATTGGGTTTAAAACCCCCTTCTATACTCAAACGTGATTTATCAAGTAAGGTGGCAAGATGGAAAGATCATACTACATTATGTTATTCAATTTATTAATTAAATTTACACAATGTTACATTGATGTCCAAGACTGTGTTCAAGTCTGCCTTCAAGGTAGGTCATGACCCTAGGACGAGTTTTCAAAAAATAGGTCAAAACCTCTTGTTAAACCCGGCAATTAATTCATGCCATATTTTGACCAGAGCCGAAGACATATGTCCCATGCCTCTGGCGAGTTTTATCGTCTGCTTCAAGATCTCGAGATTGCCTTGGTAAATAACGCCAAGAGCAGTAGGCCTACAGCTTCTTATTAGGGCATAAGGTGAAAAAAAAAGCCGATATAAAAGTGGCGACGTTTTAATCTTATGTTTGATCTGAAGCAGCAATAACTTACACAAATTAGTCTGTATTTAGTATTATTTTATGCAAAGAGATTGTGAGAAAGATAGGCATGAAAACAAAACAAAGCAAACTGTTTGATTAATTGGAAGATATCGGGTTTTTTCCCCAAACCATAATGACTAAACGTCGATAGGGGCACACATCATACACCTCTTAACGGAACAAAATATGAGGCGATAGATACAAATTAGTAATAAGAAGAAAAATGTATTCGGTGTTAGATAATACAGTAAGCAATTGTCCAATTAAACACAACTAGGATTTCTGATTATCTAGTACCAATACAAAGGATATAGGAAAAGTTATAAAATATGTTTTTGACGCACGGGACAATGATGTATGTGAGTTAAGACAGTGATTTATTGGACTGTTACAAATAATGCGATAAGAAGATCATAAAAGACAAATAGGAGAATCTAAACCGCCCTAAAAAATCCGATAAAACTACTAAATTTGAAGTGAAAAGAGAATAAAACACATTTGAACAGTTGTAGAAAAAATTGAAAGCTAAGTGAGTTGTAAAGCATACAATTTTCTGTTTGTAAAGACGGAATGGTTGAGTAAGAAAACAAGATATAAAATAAACTATTATTATAGCCTCCTACAAAGAACATTGTGACGTATCCAGGAGTGGAAAAAGGGGCGGCTTTTCCCCTAAACCCTGGCATCAGCGAATAAAAAAACACTATCCAAGTGCAAATTAGATAAAGTATTAAAATGGATAAAACATTGAATCTTCAGGGGAATAGCCCCTTTCTCTTGGATCCTAGGTTCTCAATTGTAACTCGCGTTACCCCGGCAAGTATCCGCCGCAGATGGAAAACATGTGTTGCTATCTAAAGCCGGCCACTCACTGCGCCTGACGATCTTTAACCGACGCGATTCTATGGAGAACGCAACGCGACGACGCGCACACAACGGATTGTTTTTAATGACTGCCACCGACAATCAGCAGACGGCATCGCGTCGCCTAGCGCTCACATGAAGCAGAGTTAAATTCGTCGGTTGAGAATCGTACGACCGTCGCTCAATGCAGTGAGTGGCTGACTTTACATGCACACAAGCAGGAATACGAAGCATTGTGTTTTATTTAAGAAAATTTTTTTTAACCTGTTGGTAGTGTAAGTCTTGTGTGTTCTCAATACAGAAAAGAATTGCTTATAGTAGGCCTATGATTAGACAATAATGTTCTTTTAACTGAAAATATTATTATTATTTATTGTTATTTAATTATGATGATACGCTCTGGACTGGACGATATTGCCACATAAAATCCAGTAGAAAAGATTTGTTAATTAAAATTATTTCAAAACACACTGTAACTAACCTTAACCTACCTGGAGGTATTAAGATACAGAAATAAAATATATTGAAAGTTGGTATGAAATAAAGAGTGGGCCTATTATCAAGACTGAAGTGGTTGTTCTACTTTGTAATCACTGAAAATGAGAATGGCGCAACTATTACATACAATCTCGCAATGCCTGCAACTTACCTGTATTATTATATCAGAGTTTCCGCTTCGCCATGGTAGCCGCATGCCATGTACAATATGACAACAAATGAAAGAAACAAGGCAAGACATGCATACTGCATAATATCTGTAGTCCATTCCGATGATGATTATCACTCGATAGGACGAACGCTTACGACACGAGCCTGCAGTGAGTTGAGCGTCGTTCGGATCTTCTCGCCGTTTAATATACAACCCACGTGTTTGCAAAAGGATCACTGTTTACACCCCTTTTACAACTGGCCGTAGGCTTAATATCAACGTGTGATCCAATTGACGAAAAAAAATATACGACCTGAAAAGAGGCGGATTTTCCACAGATTTGATGTACATCATCAATATTCACAAGGCGTTTAACCAATCAGCGCACAAAGATTTACCGGAAATGCGGGTTAGTCACAGACAAACTTTATACTTATTTTACAGTGATTGTTTAAAATAAAACATTCAAAGATATTTATAACAAGTAATTACTGTACTGCAAGACAGTCGGAGTTATAACTCACTATAACTTCCAAGAAAAGATGTCTGCCTACAAAAAATATTATATAAATCCTAAACAATTTGGTTACGGCATGGCAACATGGGGTATGGTCTTCGACAGTGTGCGGTAACAGGTCTAACGAGGAGTTGACGTTGGTATAATAATATGTATAGAGTTGAATAACCCTGCAATGTCAGTAACTTTATTGTCTCTCTTTTGTATTAGAGGCACTTTTCTCAATGAGAAGTGAAGCGAAAACAATATGTAAAGAACAACCTTTTAATCATACAGTAAGTGAAAATATGCATACCATAACAGAAAAAAGGGGAAAAAACAGAACTGTGAATAGGCTTATATAAAAAGTAAATTTATAGTAAAATGAGAAGTTTATATTAAGATTAGACACTTATCTATGAACATATCACTTTTAAGATTGTTGTTCGTCTACCTCTTAACTATTGATAAACCACCATTGTATTTGTAAGCAGCTCCTTTGACAAACTTATGTTACAGTGGCCCTATTTATTGTTTTATAGTAGTTAATCCCAAAATTTACAGCATTCATTTTGAAAGAAGCCCGGTGCAAAAATAGCCTCGAAAAGATGCCAATCCAATGTTCGCCAAAAAGAAGCCGAATTTCATAATGTGAATATTGAACGATTTCGATTAATGCAGTGCTCTTCAAGTACAAAGTGAACGTAGGCCTAGGAAAGCTTCAGCTCGAGCAGTATTCATGCCCTTTAAATTGGTGGTAAACAGCGTTTTGTAAAGCAATTATATGGTTAGCTCATGTACTCTCGGTAAAAAGACGATTAGCTTTGCAATTAAGTGTGTGTCACCCTAGACGCAGCTCATAAATACGTACGTGATTCGAGGTATCATGTTGTATTTTGAAAACTTTATTTAGCAGCGCCTACGCTATAAACATGCTATTAGCATAACCTAATAGTAAGAGGAATTACATAACAGACTTTATTAGTGATTAATTTTACTGAGGTATCACTACGTAAACTTGGTTTTGAGGACGAGACCGGAATACCTTCTTATGATGGTTATTATCTTCTTTTTGATTTATGACGAGATAGCATTTCAAAACCATTAGTTATTTATAATAATTACATAACCTTAATCTATTTACGATATCTCAATTGTTGTATGGATGTCGATAGAACGTTTTAAAAGTTAGTAATAGTCACTGAAATTATTTAAACAATATTATTGTTGTATTTAAAGTAGCCCTTTTAACTCCAATGAGCATTTCTTTATACTCATGTATGGTCACGGTACGATGGTTTATATCAAATATTTTTTTCAAAATGCAAAAATGTAATCCTTTTTTATTAATAATTGTTGTTATAAAACGTGGTATTCACAAGTCGCACTAATCCACAATGAAAATGTAACACTAACCAAATCGAAAATATTGCCCAGCCATGACCGGAAAACGGCATTACATGTGACAGTTGACACGCGTTAAAATATAAACACGCGCCCACACAGAACCCTCTACTATGAATAATTATTTGGAAGTGCTTTTACTTAACGAGTAAAGAAGTTGCTTAAGCGCATAGTGTTGTAAGTGAGAACGTGTAGATTATAATCGATTATCTGTTTACTTAATTTATTTCATTCCATTATTAACCATCAAATTATGTCATCAGTCATACTCGAATTGAAATCAATCAAGAACATGATACACCCAAATATATATATATATATATATATATATGTCTGTGTGTGTGTATGTATCAAACCACCTATCAAAATTTCAAACAATGATGATTAATTCCAGAGTAAAAAAGTGCTCTCCGCGTTTCCTTGCTCACGGTACAGACAGTGCATATGACGCAATCGGTGTATTGAGATAACTGTGTAACGCGCCTTTAATCATTAATTAATCTTATTATATATGTTAATTAAACAACCACATAATATAAAATTTGCTACTTGTTACAAAATACAACACTTTTTATGTGGGAGCGGTAGGCTCAGCGTTTGTGTTTCCGTCTCAACCTCGAGGTTGGATGTTCGAACCTTCGCTGTGCAATTCGCTTGTGTTCTTGGACAAGGTATACGTTTCCTCTACAAGCAGGAATATAAATAGGTACGCGGTTCACTGTTTGGGAGGAAAAAGGTGGTGTGAAATTCTGCTACGTTCAGTAATACGTGACTGCCTTTACCCTTTTTTACGATTTTTTTTTATTCAGATATAAAAACATTTAAAAAAAAAACAGTCAGCAGCAAAAGACTGAAACGACTGAATTCACAATGAACAATGTATTAAAACATTGACACACATAAAACCAAAGCATTTCACCAAAAAAAAAGAACGAACTTCTACCTTCAAATAATTAATTGGTAAAAACCTGGTATTGTATCTGGTCTAAATGCAAAGGAGTGTGAAGTAGAAGTTATTGAAAACTCAACCTTAGATATCATTTGCTACGACGTAAATGACTTATATAACTTGTTTTTTATTTAGTCTTCGAAGTTTAATTACATACACAATGCAAATAAGTATATTTTTAATTATGGTCTTTGAGTAATCCAATCTTCTACATCACATCTACATGTAACAAACAAAAAAAACACCCTTTCACACCTTGATTTTTTTTATATTCAGCTTTAGGCCAAGCATAATATGCCAAACTGTGAACTTTATCCGTCACAAGACAAACAAACAAGACGCTCTGCATAGACTAGTCACATTATGAAGCTTAGGGGAGTTTCTTAGTCGTCAGAAAAAAAATCTTACTGTGACATGAATTGATCCCAGAACTATGAGATTGGAAAGCAAGCATCTTAACCACCAAGCTATTCAACTCCACTCTAAATGAATGTAATCTAAAAGTTATTTACTCGTTACATATGAACAACTGATCTGAAGTCATCCAATTGAGTGTTGTTAAAATCTGTCGTGTCTCATAACCTACTGTGTGAGTTCCACTATATTAGCATAACTATAGAGTAGTGTATTCATCATAGAAATCACACAAGGTAAACTTATAAGCGTAGTTATTGGTCTGTCGAAGATTTGTAAAACAATATATAACAAGAGTGTACATCTCTACGTGTAGGGGCATAACATTTCTTATTACATTATTAGATAAATTAACTGATTATAAATATAGTAAATGTTGAACATGAATATTGGAGTGCAATTAAATGATAATTTGGCGGGTTTGGGGCTGGTTGCCCCCCCCCAGACATTTCTTCCCTGACACTTTCCCGGTGTTTTGTCCCCCAGACATTAGGCCCCCATCCCTTGACATTTGCCCTCCGGACTGTTGCCCTAAGGACAATTTCCCCACCCCTCTCTGTTTTCTCATATATAATTTAAATTATATATTATAATTTACAATACATTTAATTTTTTTATTTTTACTTAATTTTAAGGAAGTAGATATTCGTACGATATTCATTAGTTCAATACGATAGCAGAACTGATTGGTAAGAACTAATTTTTGGCCAGGCTCAGTGTTTTTTTCTTATTTATTTCAGATTTAATTCTTAAAATATTCTTATTTCATTCATATTTTTACACACTTTTCAAACATACAAAAGTATTATCTTACAGCAGTATATTACCGTACTGTATTTTAGGGTATTACTATAAAACTTATTCCTTCGTGGTATTACATAGTCACTTTATTTCTCCTTGGTCACACCTACTGCAAATAAGGATAAGATTTGTTGGTTTTTCTATTTTTTTTAAATTAAAACCTCGTTTGACATTTTACCTCAGCCGCAATTGTTCTTATTTTGTTCTTAATTGTTAAGCAATTTCTGCCTCAGTGTTCTTATAAAAATGTGTAGGGCCTAATATTAATAGCTTAATGGCTTAATGTAATTCATATTGTTTTTTATGTTTTTATATATAATTCATGTCTTCAATAGCCTTATATCATAATTCAATGATAATAATAATAATAATAATAATAATAATAATAATAATAAATGTAATAATAATAATTTAAAACTATAAAGAGTAAATTTAATATCCTTGTATATTCTGTATGGATAATATTAACAACAATAATAAGAATAATAAAAAATAAAGAGCAAATGTAATAACCTTGCCTTTTCTGTATGAATAAATAATTTAATGATAATATTAACAATAAAAGGAATAATAAAAATGTAATAATTATAAAGAGCAAATGTAATAACCTTGTTTATTCTATATTGATAGCATTATAAAATAAGTTGAAATAGGTAATCAAAAGTATTTTAGTTTTATTTAAAAAAAATAATGATGTAAAAATTATAGCTTTGTAAGTTTTAATTTCAGTACACTTATTCATTTCTTATATTATTCAGATTACTTTGCTGTCTACATTTGTATAAATATTTTCCAAATAAATATTGTTATTTTTGCTACTTATTTAATACAGAGTAAATATAAAAGAATGATAAATCTTGATGTATTCCTTGTATTTAAATTCTTGTTTTATTTAACGCATGATGTAAGGGGGTAAAGTCCGGAGAGAAATTGTCCTGAGGTAAAAGTCTGTTGAAAAATTTCACAGGGAGAGGCGGAAAATGACCGGGGGAAAATACTGGGTCAATTGTCCTCCGGCATATGTCCGGGGAAACCAGTCTACTTCCAATATAACGATAATATGACTATTTGAAAACTATACTTTTGAATCAGTGGTACACGTCATGCAGTACGTTTGAAATAAAAATATACAAGCACAGACTTTAAACCAACAGCTTGGATGGTTAAGATGCTTGCCTTCCAATCCCATAGTCTTGGTTCAATTCCTGTCAGTGTT